GGATATTTCTGAGTTTTAAGAATTATTTGCATATTTTATATACAAGTACTTTTCTGATGTGTGGGTTGCAATATTTTTTGAAATTTTGTCTTCATTCTATAAAGGTTATTTGCTGTGAAAAATGGTTTCACTTTAAATTCAGTTCAATTTATCAATGTTTTAATAATTTTGTTTTTGTTGTAATATAAAAAATCCTCACCTAGCACTATGTACTAGAGTTGTCTCCTACTAATAGTTTTATGCTTTATATGTTAATTATAGTTGATGTTTTGTTGTAAAAAAAAATCTATTTTATAGTAAAATTTATCATTTTAATTTGTTTCATGTGCTCTATAATCCTTTTTTTATTGTCTCTCTCTCTGTTTTTTAAATGAGGTGACATTTGTTCACATTATTGTGTACTAGAAGAAAGGCGGTCTTTCCTCAGGTGCAGCACACGGTTCCCACCACCAAGACACCCATAACAACCACTATTTAATTAATTGTCAGACTTTCTTTTCTATTGGCCTGGTAGCTAATTCTTTTATATTTACTAATTTTAGTGGTTGCCCAAGAGATTATGATGTGTACCTTTAAGATATTAAATGCTAGTATGAATTGTTTAAGTTTACAGATTTAAAAGTACTACAAAGTTAGTTGAGCTATGAAGCAGGATACATAGATATTTGAGCTCCCCTTGACTCATTGTCTATTGTTGTTGTATGTTATAATTTCCTGTAATTTTATATAGCTAATATTTATTTACATTAAACCTTTTTTTAAAGATTTTTTAAAAAAGATTTATTTATACATACAAGAACTGGGGTACAGGCCAGAGGTGGGGGGATGGGAGGATTCACCAGAAACAGATTGGGGAACAGAACAGGCAGACTGACTGAATACACTGCTGAGTGCAGTAGCAGGTGAGTCAGGAGAGGTCTGCTGTGCTATGTGGGTAGCTCCCTGGCTGGGGATCAAACTTGTGCTGCTGTGGCTGCGGATAGCTTCATAGGTTGCGTCTTAACCACTTGCGCCACCAGGAAGGCCCAAAGATTTATTTATTTATGTACATAAGAGCTGGGGTACAGGCCAGAGGTGCAGGGGGTGAGAGGATTCACCAGAGACAGAGTGGGGAGCAAAACAGGCAGATCTACTGAATTACAGTGCTGAGGGGAGCAGTGGGCAAGACAGGAGAGGTCTTCTGGCTGGGGATGGAATTCAAACTGCAGTGGCTGTAGACAGGTTCATAGTGCTGTGTCTTAACTCTTTGTGCCACCAGGGAGGCCCCCTACATTAATCTTTTTTATTGCAATATAGCTTTTTCTTCTAATGCTGACATCACATGTTATCATTATTCTTCTGCCTGAAGAACACTTTTCATGATTTATTTTAGTTCTGTCATTGATGAATTACCTCAATTCTTGTATATATTAACTTGCACTTATTTAACTTTTATTTGTGGGGATATTTTTGACGAAAAAATAATTTTATATCCGCAATTATTTTTATCCCCACAAAATTTCACTATTTTGAATTTTTAAAAAATATTTATTTATGCATATAAGAACTGGGGTACAGGCCAGTGTGGGGGGTGAGGGGATTCACCAGAGACAGAGTGGGGAACAAAACAGGCAGATTGACCAAAGTACACTGCTGAGGGGAGAAGCAGGCGAATCAGGCGAGGTCTGCTGTGTCATGTGTGTTGCTCCCTGGCCAGCTGGGGATAGAACTTGTGCTGAAGTGGCTGCGAATAGCTTCAAAGGTTGCATCTTAACCCCTTGTGCCACAAGGGAGGCCCTATTTTGAATTTTTGCATCCATTGTTTCACAAGCAAAATTCTTTATGCACTTTTGAAATTAATGTGCTTTCTTTCTTGCTTATTTCAGAATTTTCTTTGCAATTTGAGTATTGTGTACACAGTTATGATTGTGTTCTATGTAACCTGCTTTGGTTTATAGAGTTTAAATGGTTATATAAAAGAAGAAAAAAAAAATGGTTATATATATGCCAAGCTACTGATTTTGTCCTTCTAGCCTCAGGCACCTCTAAGGATTTGGTCTTCTTACTAGGTTCTCATCAGTCTTCATGTCCCAAATTCAATCACTATTCTGGAGCTCTATAAAAAAGTCTTAACCACCTAATTATTAAAAAATTCTATGGATCTTAGAAGTCCTTCCTCTCTCCCCCTCCACCCCCAATAAAAAGCAATTCTGATCATTTCTTTTTCACTGAGCCATTAGGTCAGTTGGTCTAAAAAACAGAATTAGAATTTTCCATTATATGTTATTCTCATAATTATTACACTAAAAAAGAAGAAAAAAACTTCATCCAGTATGGTATTAGCTTCAATATATGATGGTTGGGAAATGCTCTTATAATTTTATTTAGTGGTTTTATCTTTAGAAGATTAAATTTGGTACTACTTTATTCTGGTTAATTTTCAACAAGTGTGAAATGTGCAATTATTTTTGTTTTATGTTTCAGTTGCAATTTCAGGAAATAAGTGAAGCAAACACCACACTAATGATGACAGGATTAAAAGGTTTTTATTTTTTTAGAAAGTATAAAATACATTAAATACAACCTAAGCATAAGGGTCCTACTCAATTTACAATGATTGCAGTCATATGTTTCAATTTATTTTTTTCATTTTCAATTTAGACATAGTATGCCAATTTGAATATTCCACAGAAGTTCAAAGAAAATCACATTTACCTAGTTTGCCTAGTAGAAGTAGTGAATTTTACATTTAAACAACACATTAGCTTAATACCAAGATATTTCTATTAAAGGGAAACAAAAACAATTTGGCATGGAAATAAATTAAAATTTAAAAGCAGTTTATACACCTTCAAATGAAAAATTATTTCTTATTTTCTATGATTTTCTGGTCATGAGATACCCTTCATGTTTTCATATTTTTTGATCCCCATGTTTCAGCATGAAGAATACTTCTAATAAAATATTGGACCTCCAAGAACATATTACTATAAACAAGAAGACAATAATTTATTTATAGATGATGGAAATGACTGGTTTAATTTCCTTTATCTAAGGAAACTTCATATTTGTGATATAATTTTTTCAACTTAATAAGGATTGAAATTTGCTCTAGATTAACTATATTCCACATCAATTTTTATTTCCAATATACTACTAGATAATTTGTTAAATTTGGCTTGATTTGATTAGATGACTTTGAGATAAACTTTTACATATTTAATTTCAATAAAAGAATTAATCTCATCATTCTAGAATATTAACTAGAATCTACTTTTAGGCATTAAAAAGTACAAACATTTATTCCTCGTATCTAAATAATAGGGCTTGTTGTATACTACACATTAAAATAGTCTTTAAATAAAAAATGCTACTTTTATACTGAATTTATCAGATGTTTTATTATTTTGCACTCACATTAATGTTTCTTGGCTTATGAGATCATAATATTGTGAACTAAAGAATAACTAAAGAGGGCCTCCCCGGTGGCGCAGCTGTTGAGCACTGGGTTATGAAGCTGCCCTCAGCCTCTGCAGCGCCGGTTCAATCCCCGGCTGCTCCCCGGCCACTGGAGGAGGGTCCCGCATGGTGCGCAGACCTCCTCTGCCTGCTCTGCTCCCTGCTCTGGCTCTGGTGAATTGTCTCACCCTCCCGCGCTTCTGACTGTACCCAGTGCTTGTATAAATACATAAATAAATAAATAAATCTTTAAAAAAAAAAGAATAACTAAAGAAACCTACATGTATAAGCAGTTATTTATATATACATGCACATATACATATATGATTGCACATGTATATGTGTATCATGTCTATGTTGATAGTATCATATGTATACATATATGTATGTGTATAATCATGTACATATAGTAACCATATAGTTATACAAAATTCTCACTAGAAATAAGAACATAATTTCTAATCAATATTTACACCCACGTATTTGAGCAAATACATGCAGTTTTCTTTATTAGAAAATGATAGAAATTTGCAGAGATAATGCAAAAAGCAATGGTAGTCAAACTTATCTTTGCATGTCTGTATTCTTTCTGTTCTCTCAGAGGTGAATTATTTTCTTTTCTCTGTGTGAAAATTCCACAGACTGGCTTCAACTTGATTTTAGCATCAGAGTAAAGCCAAATAATGGACAGCCATCAAATTCAGAAAACCAGTTAGCCAATTAATCTTTTTGCAGTTGCATAGTTTTGTTTCTGATTATTTTTGTAAATCTTTTCATTTCTTTTCCACAAATTGACTATCTCTCTCTACATATATGTTTACCCCTCAGCTTTAGAATTTAGAAAGCAAGCTAAAACTACCCACTCACACAAACCTGAGTTTAAGTATACCATTTCAAAAATGAGAGATAAAGTATAAAATTTTCAAAAGCAAAATTTCTATTTGAATAGGGTCAGATCAACTGAGTTTAAATGATATGGCCCTGGAACAGAAGGAAGAGAGGGAGGGAGGGTAAAGAGGACAGAGAGAGGTTTGGAAGGAAATGAAGGAAAGCAGGAAGGTAATAGAGGAAGTAAGGAAGGAAGGAAGGAAAGAAGGAAGAAGGAAGGAAGGAAGGAAGGAAGGAAGGAGAAAGATGGAAAACAAAAGATGGAAAACGAAAGGCAGTGCAGCTAATTCCATTTGGTAATATGGATAATGCAGATAGAAGATATATTTATTTGGCTGGGGAGATCGGAAGAGTTTGTTTATAATAATTTTGTTAGTCAAATAAAATTTGCCCATACTGTTTATGAAGAAATCCTTACATTAAACTCAACGTTTGTTGTTTTAAATTAAATATATTTTAAATTTACTTTCTCTTTAAATCCCAGCTAGTTTTTCCAGGAAGACTTCTTGTTATATGCATTAGCACTCAGTCTAATGCACACAAAAGAATAGATGCTGATCTTTTTCACCATTTCACAGAGTAGCCAGCTTTGTGATCATTCTATGACCATATCTAAAACTTAATAGCATCTATAAGATTTGATTGTTTAATCTAAATTTACTTCTTATTTTCAGGTATTTTTGGCTGAATACACAGGACCTCTGCTAATATATCTACTGTTTTATTTGAGGACCCCTTATATATATGACACAAAAGAGAGTGCTAGAAGAATGCGCCATCCAGTGGTACAGTAAGTAATTTGTTTAGTGCGAATAGTTTGAGATGAGCTAGTAAGCAGATATATGTTTAAAAGATTGTTTGTAAACTCAACTAAATGGATTGAATTTTAGAGAAATATATTTGAGGTTACCATAAGTACTGTATATACATCAACTCGCAAATTTTTGAATAAAAGACTACTAATTATACTTTAATTATAGTATATATATAATATATTAAATATCTAATATTTAAAGTAGGTATAATATCTACTATACTTACTATATATATTAATATATAAAGAAAGAGGTAATTTAAGTTAACAGTTATCAAATTTTTAAAAAGAAATTTAGAAATTATAAGTTTAAAAAAGTTTAAAGTTATTCAGTTGAGAGGACATGTATAAGGCTAAAGAAATACATACTTCTCTAAAAACATGGAAAATCTCTTATAGGAAAGCAATAATGATCTAACTAATACACAAGGAGGAGAACAGTTCAAAATCCAAAATTAAATTTTCCTTTGACGTAAGCAAAAAAGAAAAAAGAAAAGACTAGGATAATTATCAAAGCATTGCAGTATATATAACTGTGGCAGTTAAGATAGTGTGAAAATTTTCTTCCTCTCTCTCTCTGACTCTTTCTCTCTTTTTCTCTCCTCTGTCTCTCTCTCTTTGAAAGTTAGACAGAGAGGATAACTATTCAAGATTTCACATTGACAAGTATGATTACCATTTGCTTTAAAAGAAAAAAGAATATGATTTAATGACTGAACTCTAAGTGAATTAAGAAACAAAACTTAGGTGATAGATATACTAGAATATAAAGAACAAATTTGACTCCCAACCCTCATCTCAAATCAAGCTTTCCCTAACCCTGAATTTCTATTCTTTAGCTAAATTGTCCTTTCTTTCCCCAATACTTACCATGTTCCTGTCACATAGGACATGGACACATGCCATTCTTCTTCCTCTATTTTCATTACTTCTTCCTTATCTCTTACTCAAACTTCAAATAAAAACTCAGTATTCCTTACTCAGGATAGTCTTTCCTACATCTTTTAAACAAAGATCTTACTAAAATGCTTTTTTCTTCATAAAATTCATTTCTTTAAAACTATATATTCACAGAAACTTTTGTATATTTTCTTCTCTAGAGTTAATGCTCTATAATGAATGCACTTTAATAGTCTAACTTCCCTGTTTAACACATTATCTGATTTATAGGGTATACTCAAAGAAAATGCACTGAATGAATAGGCTGATGAAACCAATTACATACTTATGTATTTTACTTTGAATATTTTTGGAGTTTAAAAAGAAGAAACAGACCTGGATAGGAGTTTTGATATGCTTTTCTAGGAAAGCAGAATTTGTCTTTTTGTGTGTGTATGTCAGAAGGATGAGTCAGATTTTACCTAGCAAATTTGAGGAATATTCATATGGAAATTGTTTGTAGCCACTGCTAAGCCATTTGGTGCACTGTAGAGTTAATGTAGTAGAAGAAAAGGGCCGGAGGGAGATAGACCTTCAAAGATGATGACCAGGTCAGTAGAGGGCAAGTTTTTCAGGGCCTTTTAGGACTTTGGTGTTTTTTCTTTTTCTTAAGTGAAGGGAATGTCCAATTTATTTAGAAAAAGGTCTGGGGTGAAGAGTTCAGAAGGAGAGTGTAATTGCACTCATTTTTTAGACCCAACTTTTAAGTCCTACCAGATATATAGCACAGCATGAAAAAAGAACAATTTTTCTCCAGTGGCATTCTCAAAGGAATGAACTGGCACATGGTTACTATTCTTAAATGCAAATATAGAATGTTTTATAACATCTCAGTTATAAATGTGTTTATGCTACATTGTTTCAAAACAGCAATTAATTTTATATGAAATCACTCCAGGGTATATACACACAAATTCCTTGGAAATTTAAGTGATTAGTAAAAAATTTATAAAATAATCACAAAGCTTCTAAGGCAACCCAATTCTGTAATAGATGATACCATTTTTCAAGGTTAAGAAAATATATTTTTTAATGCCATCTGAGATTGCAGCATAGTCCAGGTTTAACTCTCTAAAATTGCTTTGCGTTGTATCACAGAAGCAAAAAATATTCTAAAGTCAGATCAATAAAATTACATGAACTTCTTTGAATCTCTCTAACATCTCTGCACACTATGACTACAAGATCTCTATCCACATCAAATAGTGAAAAGGTGGTTCACCGGTTATAAGGTTGATGTAATGCAGATGATCTTTATTTAATCAACAATAAAGATGGAGGATACATTCCCCAAAGCATCATGGTCTCTTATCATAGCGACAGGATGAGCTTGCTGCACTGTGGCTAGGACCACACCTCCATTAGAACAGGTAATGTTATCATCAGGGATGGAAAAATAACCTTCAGATCTTTCCTTCACTCAGAATTCAAAGTTTCACTATCAGCCTTGAATGTAAGAGGATCCTTTAGATATTTGAAGATCTGTTTGGGTCACCCACCTCTTTAACTCCACAATCTCAATCAACTTTACCTGTCTCTTTTATTGTATCGACTGAGCTCTCCCTAGATACTGAACTCCTACAGTGCTCTCTGTAGTTCAAAATCCATTAGTAGCAAAATATATTTGTAACATTGTACTTGGGCATTGCCTTTATTATCTGCCTCAACATAAACCTAGTACATTGCTTTTGTTGCAACTCTATAAACTTTAGACTGTGTTTTCTTTTGCATCCCTCATATCTTGAAGTTTATTAGATAAAGGATAAGATATTTTCAAATATGATTGAAAAAAAATTGCATAGAATTCTACTTATGGATATTCAGTTCTCTTAGTACTGGACAGAGAAAGGGTCAATGTTTGAAAGGAAGTGACCAAAGATTAAATAGATGAAGAATATTTTGGAATTAAATAAAACTTGGTAACCAATAATAAAGCATAGTGGTATATGCTATTCTGGCCTCTATGCTCTCAGAATACAGTATGAAATAAAGTGAGTTAATTTGGAGGTGTCATATCTTGAACTTAAATTTCCCACTTAAGATTGTGCATAATAGAATTTTTCTGCTTTCTTAGAAAATGGAAAACTTTATGACAGGTAGTTGTAGAAATATCTTTACAAAAGAAACAAGTTCAGAAAGATGCTAATTCCCTCATTATTCCTTTGAAATCACAGGCAACTTTTTGTACTAAGATACTTACTTTGCTTTGTTTCTCTTGCTGTCTAGAAAGCTCTTTCCCAACTGATATTAACATCAGTTGTTCTCTCACATCTTTCAGAATTTGCCTATTGTCCATTAATGCACATATCACAAAGAATGTGTTTTTCATATAATAGGTACACATTATATTTTATGAATTAATGGATAATTATGAATTTCCTGGTTACTTGACCAGCTTGGTTTGTCTTTGTTTTCCATAAAGTCACCATTAATAATACCAGAAATCATAAATATAGTCCCAGTGGGGAGTCAGGGATTACTTTCAAAGTAAATTACATTGTTGTTTTATGCTTAAACTTCAGGGTTTAAATATAATATCATTGATTCATATAGATTTTTTTGAATAGCAAAGTTTTTGAAATTTTACACTTTTATTTATGACAAATTTAGTACAGATTTTATGGAAAATATGTTATCAAGTATAATTATGAAAATTTATTTCAGTAAATAACACTTGACTTTTATTTTTATAATAGTTGTAATAATTACAAGAAAAGGTGGTAACTTAGAACAGCAACAAAACAATCACTCAAATTGACAAAATATTTCAATGTTATTCAGGCAAAAAACCAAATGTAAAACAAACTAAACAAAACGAAAACTGCATTGTCTCCATAGAAAATGAAATTCAAACTTTTAAATCTATAGTGCTTGCTAAAGTTCAACAAGAAAATGAAAAAAAATGTTCTGAATATCACAAAATGTCAAATGCAGTCTATGTAGGGTTTGAATGTGTTTAAAACCTGTGCTTCAATATTGAGGATTTTCAATATCAGCACATTGCAATTAATATTTTTAGACATTACTAGGCATGTGTGCGTATACTATTTATTACTGGTATTACAAACTATCATGTCATCAGAAGTAAATTTAGAGAAACTGTTGTAACAATAATTTTACTGTTAAATGAATTTAGAAATTTCTAAAAAAAATGTTGTAACACTTTTGTTTTAGTGACTGAAAATGGTATTTCTTAATAAATAAAGCACTGCAATAAACTAAAATGAATAAAGCATTTTATGAATAAGAGAAGCCAGATTCAGGGAAAGGCATTTAATGTGTTTATTTTCTTCCCAGCCTGGCCTGCTTCTGTCATTGCATACACTATATTCGCTGTCTTTTGGAAACCTTATTTGTTCACAAAGTTTCTGCAGGACATACACCTTTGAAAAAATTGATAAAGGTAGGGTTTACTATGTTTTGTTATTTTACTATCATTAAGAAATTTTGAATATTGGAGCATCTGTAAAATATTTCACTCATATTCCCACTGAAACCTATTTTTTTTTTTTTTGTTTAGCTATATTAGAATAGCTTAGGTATTGTGCTTCTGAAATGCCATTTCTGAGGTGATCTGTATAATTAGTGCCATTCTCAATCAATAACCTATATAGAAAGATTTGCCTTGACCTTATGTTGTAAGCCATATAAGCTCAGAATCCTTTTAATTTTGGAAATGTTTATCATTGCCTTCAGATTCCTCAAATACCTCTTGCAGAAGAGAAATTTATGCATGAATTTTCTTATAAGTGTATTTCTGTGTGATTTAAATGATGATATCCCGTATATATGATAGTTCTCAGTGTGATGATAGTGTCTTTGTTCTTAAAAAAAATGGTGAATTCTGTTGTTATCAATCATCAAATAACTCAGGAAAATGGGAAAAATTTTGTAACATTGAAACAGATGCACATTAAAGAAATGCTACATTTCATTTTTCTATTTCAAAATTTATTTTCAATAGGAATTTTGTTCTTACTAAAATCTTCCTGGTTTTTATATATAATCTATTTTCAAAAAATTTCAACAAAGTTGTCATTGTGATAAAACAATGAACTCCAGATTTCTTAGAGTCCTCTGAATAATTGAAAGTAGCTTTTTTGACAGAAAATATTAAAACTTAATATATTAGTGCAAGATTAGTTCTATAGTACAGCACTCCTAAATCCCATGCCATTCCTCTTTTGAATCAGCCAATTACTAGCAATTATTTTAATAACTGGTTATTTTATTTATTTACCATTAGAAAATTATAACTAGTATATCATGTAATAGATATGCATTATTTTTATGGTATTCAAGTTTACTAAGTGATAGACAAAAAATTGTTCAAAGTCTTTATAAAATGCAGTATGTTTTTCCTATTCCAAATATTCATTTCTGTTAATAAAAATGGAACAAAGGACTGCATTTCCTTAGTGATGAAAAAAGTTACTCATAAAATGGTACTTCATGGGTGAAGAAGACTTCCATTCATTCTAACTTAGAAAACTTACCATTGTTCATACAAAAAATGCTTCTGTGTGGCATGTAAATGTATGGTGTGGTCAAATAATGTGAAACATGTGTATATACGCGTATGCATTTGCGTATAATATATGCATGTGCATGTGTGTGTATATATGCATACACATACATACATATATTTTATTTTGTATACATAACTTTTATTTTGTATTATTTGTAGGGCTGTATATTTTATTGGGGATTCACCTCTTGGATTGCCTACTACATTAATCACCCACGGTATACACCACCATGTACGTAGAATTTCTCCTTGACTTATCCACTACTAAAGTGACGAATCAAAATTCTACTCTAAACTATATAGAAATTATATGTAACATAGCATATTTAAAGGGCTAAGCAGGGCCTTCCCAGTGGCGCAGTGGTTGAGCGCTGGGTTGCGAAGCTGCCCGCAGCCTCTGCAGCGCCGGTTCAATCCCCGGTCGCCCGGCAAGTGTCCCACATGGTGCGCAGACCTCTCCTGCCGCCGGCTGCTTCCTTCAGCAGTGTACTTCGTCAGTCTGCTTGCTCTGCTCTCTGCTCTGGCTCTGGTGAATTCTCTCACCCTCCCGACTTCTGACTGTACCCAGTGCTTATAAAAAGAAATAAATAAATAAATCTTAAAAAAAAAAGATTTAAAAAAAAAGGGATAGCAACTACTAATAAAAATGTCCATTTTAAATTATTTCCATGTCCCAGTTCATTCCATTTTTCTGTAATCTTAAAAGATCAAATTTGACTGACATCTGTGATTTAATTTTAACCTATAGGAACTGTAGCAGAAACACGAGTTTATTGTAAGTCTCCAAATGACAACAGTGAAATTAAGGATTAAAAAGAAACTCTTCATAATCATATAATCATATACAATTAGCTATTATTTAAAAAATATACAAATATATTTAATTATCATTTTAATTATAATTAGGCATGAAAAACAGGTATTTTTGTGTGACATATATTTTCCTATTTATAACTTTATTGAATGTCTTGACCCTTGAACTAATCAAGCAATTGAAATGCAGATAAAAATCGCAGTCCTCAGGTCCTGATCTCATATAACTCCGACAGAATTTTTTTTCTTTTTTTTTTCAGATTTATTTATTTATGCATAAAAGAGCTGGGGTACAGGCCAGAAATGCAGGGGGTGAGAGGATTCACCAGAGACAGTGGGGAACAGAACAGGCAGACTGACTGAAGTACACTGCTGAGGGGAGCAGCGGGCAAGTCAGGAGAGGTCTGCTGCACCATGCGGGTTGCTCCCTGGCCGGCCGGGGATCGAACTCATGCTGCAGAGGCTGCAGACTGCTTCATGGTGTGGTTCTTAACACTTTGCACCACCAGGAAGGCCCTCCAACAGAAATTTAAAATATATTTTAGAATATATACTTATTTTAGAACATTAACAGATTAATAATTTTGTTCCATACTATGTTTAAGAAGAGGAACTTCTGAAAAATGCTGCAGTCACAAATTTGCACAAAATAACAGATTTAGTGTGTTCATATATGTTAAACATTTATTGAAAACTAAATAGAGATCAAGAAATATAAAATTACAACTTCTTTTATAATTAGAAATGTTATGATATTGGTAATATAGCTTGCTATAAACAAGCTTTTTCTCCCTATAGACTTGGGGGAAAAAGCTTTATTTTGTTGTGCTCATGTCTCTTAAATGCATCAGATGTTAGTGGACCTAAATTCTGTGAAAACATACAGAGCATTTGCATGTGGAGAGGGAATATCTTGGATAAGCTGTCCATACAGATTTCAGTTTTTATGGCTTAGGTAAATAATGCCAGGCACCAAACTCATGCTTCAAATTAGTTGCCACCTATGTTATTGCAATTGCATAACCTACAAATTTTGCAGTTAGCTCTTCAGTCCATATTTCACTCTTACAAATATTAGTTATGATCACTGATATCTGATGATGATTGGTAACTATCATCTGTTATTCAGTTTACTCACAATCAGCAAATTACTGAAATATGCAGTTTAGATACAGAAAGCATTAATCTGAGTAAAAGGCTAGCCAACCCCCACTGAAACAAACAAAAAAAGAGCGTATTGATTTGACTGGTGTTTTCATCTAAGCAGAAGTTTCTAATTCTTAAATTGATAGTTGTTTTAGACAGTGTTGAATGCTATAACAAAATATTCAGACTGTAAGGCTTATTTTTTCACAGTTATGAAAAGTTGAAAGTCAAAATTAAAGTGCTGGCTGACTCAGTTCTGTCCTGATTTGCAGTGCTTTCTCTCTGTGATCTTACAATGGAAGGAGCAAATTCTCTTTTCTTATTAGAACACAAATCTCATTATTGTCCCTCTACCTAAACTTAATTATCTCCTAAAGGCCCCATCTCCAAAAACCACTATATTAGAAATCCAGGCTTCTAATTTTTTGACCGAATGGAGACAACATTCAGTCAATAGCAATAGTGATGTGAGCCTAGGGTAATTAGTTCACACTGCAGGCAAATAAATAGAATCCAATAATTGTTTCTAATTTCTCATAAGCTTATGACATCAATTAGGTTTTGCTTTATTCATTACAATTTCACTTCTTTTTTGGCAGCTATGCTATGCTATAAATATCTTTCTTGGAATTTATTATTTTTGAAATATTATATTCTTCCCTTTTGTAACTAATTAGTTTATAGATTAAATATTTTTATAGAAAAAAGTGGATTATATATTAGAGCATGAAAATTCAATGTTGTTCCCCCAAAAGTAGAAATAATACAAACTACAATATATACTATCTTTAGACAAAATGAAACCTTAAAAGCATAGCTAAGCACAAAAAACATGAATTTAAAACACACCAAAATTATTATTTTCCCTTTTTCTAAAGTTAGCTTTTATTATACTCACCACCTGCATAAAATATTTAGGAACAGAAAATATTGGGAAAAAAATGAGTCCAAATTTATATCACTAAGATGGAAACCTATAATGTAAAATATACATTCTACTACCATTTTTGTGGGCACTTAAAACAAATTTAAAACTATATACTTGAAGACACATTCATAGACAACTATTATTAAGTGTGAAATTTAAAATAACATTATAGAAAAGACAAAAGTAAAAAAAAAAACTGAAGTAACAAGAGGAAAATTATTACAGTTGCAAAATAGACATAATCCCAATTTTAGATAATTATGTACAAAAGATGAAATAAGCATGCTAATTAAACATGTTAGAAATTCCTCTTCTCTAACATATTCTATTTCTATTGTGTACTGCATTAAATTGTTATGTTTAGACAATTGAGTCAAATGAACAAGGCAACATTGTTTCCTATGGGAAGTGTATGTGTATATATATGTATATATGTATATGTATGTATATATGTATATACACACATATATATATATGTGTGTGAAATATGTTTATATGTTAAAACGGATAATGAGCTTTTCAGAAAATTCCATTTGTTTTGAACATTTCTAAATCCAATATCTCTACTGTGAGCAAAGTGATGTTAGAGTACTTTAAAAATTCCAGTTTATCCATTGCTCTTTATGATATGGGATCATATATAGCCTATATTTTCTTTACTTTCATATAGCAACAATGCTCATATTTATTTTTAATATGAAAATAATTAAAATACAACCTGATATAAAACCTTAGTACAAAAATAAAAAAATGTTATTAAGCATCTTTCTTTTTATTGTTAAACATTTGAAAGCAAGAGATTGAGTATGCTAGGTCATTGTAATGTGCTATAAAGTGACAAATATGACAGATTAAATTTGATTTCAAAAAGTTTAATAATACAAATTAAAATAGATTCCATTTGTAATCTAAATAACATTAGATTACTATAAGAAAATTGCATGTGGAAAGAAAAAACAGCTTTGTTTCTTTAGATTACAAAAGTATCTTCTCAAAGGTCAATAACATATCACATTGTACTTTTGTTTACAGGATAGTAATCTACAATAAACACTGTCTGAATTATGTCTATAATGTTAAAGCCTAAAATATGAATGTTTGTATAATATTTTTGTTTCTGTTTTCCTAGCATTTGGAAGTAGGCAAGTCACAGTAGCTACTGTCAACTTCCTGGTGTGTATTTATATTTTTTCCTATTAATGTTTAATTGTAGTATTATTAAGACTTCAAACTAGATTGTATTTGAGAATTTGTCATTCAGAAAAAATTTTTCTATTTTATATCATATACCTAACAATATTAAATTAAGTTAATCAAATAATTTACTATAATTAAATCATTAACTCTCCAAATATTTTAATTATAATATTCTATGCATTATTGGAATGCTTAAAATTATCTTAAATAAAAATTTGAAAAAAAAACTCAGTAATTCTTCTTCCTATTGTCTGTGCTCTAACTTATAAATCTCTAAGAGCAAAAGTTTTACATGTTCAACAGACACACTTCCATAAAACACTTCGACATCGTTAATTTAACTAATTGTGAGTAAAACAAAGTCTTTTAAAATTGAAACAAAGTTCTTTCCTAATTTTTCTTAGTCAAATTATTTAGATCATTCTATTTAACTTCACATATGTATTGTTTGAATTCACAATAGATTTTTATTATTTCTGAAATGCATTATTTTATTAAATATTTACATAGCTTTATATCCATTATGATTCCATACGTCCATTCCTTGTTCACATTCTACCCCCATTGCTGTCTTTGATAGGTTAACTCCCATGATATTGTCCCTGCTCCATTGACAAATTCTTAGAATTCATGCAAAAGTAACCTATTCTTTGTAATGTTATATTGAACTTTGGTTCAATTTATTTTTAAGAGATGCAGATATACTACACTTAAAATGTTAAAATATTTTGCAGATTTGTGAAGCTGGAAATCATTTCATTAATGTAGTGCTGTCTCATCTAAATCACACAGGTTAGAATCATTCATTTTTAATATCATATAGAGTGAATTAATTATTTTAAATGTCTAAATCAATATTTTTAAAGGGAACTTGATTTTTGTCCTTTTATGTCTAAATTTTCCTTATAACCCTTATTAATGATTTCTCTTAAATGAAGTACACATATGTACATATGTACACACACACACACCCCCTAAACAACAATATAACTTAGACAATGTGAAAAAATAGATTAAGAGGTAAAGTAGTATGAAACCTACTGATTTCATTTTTCCTTTGTCTTGATACTCTCTCTTGTTCTAAATGTTTAATTTGTTAATTTGAGTCTTCTACAACTGAAAATCTTTTTCTGCCATTTTATTTCTATTTAAAGCACTTTCTAAATTTGCACTTCATTCAGAGTCTCCTTTTGTGATCTTTTTATATATTCATCTTTGGTGAAGAACTCTGTTCCTGTATCTCCTTTCTAGATCTTGTGCCTGTCTGTCTGCTTTTGACTGACCTTCCCGTATCTAACATTTTTAATACTGTTGTTCTGAAGTAATTGTCATATAGTTTATCTGTTTCTGTCTCCTTTATATTTGTCCCTGGATGTCTGTCTTTTTCACTTTGCTTTGCCATCTCGTGTTGAGATGTACCTACTTTTTAGGCATGTATATTGCTTTATTTATCACTATTTGTGTGTGTATGTGGTTGGGGCACTGGGCGTTTACCTGCTGTTTTCTTCTTAATTTACCTCATTATGAAATGAATTTAGAAGTGGAGTCTGGGGCTTTATTATTCAATTTTTGTTTGAGGAGTGACATTAGTCACATTAACCTTTTGCTTTGTGTAGGGGCAGGAATGACACAGTGCAGGTTTTCTGATCCAGCAGACCAGATAAAGGAGGAGTCCTGGAGCCCTCAGTGGCTTTTGCAAGTTTTTTATTTAGATTTACCAGGCATATGGCAGGCAGGAGTGCTGGGGGGTCGGGAGACTGGCAGTCCACCCAGCCCCCAGCAAATCCTCACTCTATCTGGGCTCTCTGGTGTTCTCTCTGCTTCTCTTCTCTAGGTTTCTGCTCTTTCTTGGCTTCTACTGGGGTCCCCGTGATGCCACCCTTAAAAGTCCAGTCTTAGCCCAGGTGAATCCCATGTACATATGTCCACACCCTACTTCAGGTGCCCGCCATCAGGGATGCATTTGGGACCACAGGTTTCCGTCATCCATCCTAATGGCGGGAGGGCAGAAAAATCTGATACTTTTTACCTTACCCTACACTTTATTTTACAGAAAGCTGTATGTATTCTGTGCTCAGTTTGTCCTCACATACCACCCCACCTCTATTGTTCCTTTCTTCCATGGCTATGAACCTTGGGCCTCACAGTGGGAAGGGCAATGTCTGGACCACCAGGCTCTCACTCTGAGATTAATTTCACTTGATTTGGAGGTGGCATTCCATGTATCTCAGGCACACGTGTGTTGACTTAACACAATGGCTGCCCACAACGACCATCACGGCCCTGCCCTCGCCTCAGCTGCTGCTTCTGCAGGCCTGGGGTGTATAAATTCCCCCAGGTTATTTTCCCAAAGGATTTCACTCTAAAGTCCTTCTTTCTGCTCTTCGGCCTTTTATGGAGGTGGGCCTGGCTCAGCCTGGCTTTTCTTTGATCTCTTTTGGAATGGGAGAGAGTTTTTAGGCCTTGTTGCCCACTGCACAGATTGGGTCTGGGACCACATTCAGTCAGCAAAATTTCTCCAGAGAACTTCGCAAAGCCTTGGGTTTTCCCCATCTTAGCTTGGGAAGTTGACTGTCATCCCAGACATGATTCCTGTCACTTCCTCCTGTTCTTTTACCTCAGAAGCCACCAATTTTAGTTCTCAATCTCCTTGGGAAGTCCTGGGGCTATATAGCTGGTTCTAACAATTTGAATTTTCTTATGAACACATATTAATCTTTATAGCTGTTTTTTGGGAAAAGGTGATTCCAGACTCTCTTCCATCATCCTGTGGGTGGAGTCCATATTACACATTTTAGACTTGTGTAGGGGCAGGATGGCATAGGGCAGAATCTCTATGTTCCAGGCAGATGGATAAAGGAGAGTCCTGGAGCCCTCCGTGTGGCTTTTTCAGACTTTTATTGAGCTCTTTACAAGGCAGGGGGTCCTGGGGGCCAGGAGGCTGACAGGCCTCCCAGCCCCTGGCGAATCTTCACTTTGTGGGCTCTCTATTGTTCTCTAGTGGTCTCCGCTTTTCCTTTGCTGCTCTGCTGGTTCTTATCATTCTATTGCTCATTCTGCTGGCCTCCTCAGCAGATGCCCCAGTGATGCCGCCCTTATAAGCCCAGTCTCAGCCCAGGTGTGCCTACCTATGCATGCTCACACCCTACTCCAAGTGTCCACCATTAGTCATGCATGTAGGACCACCAGGATTCATCATTAATGCTAATGGCAGAAGGGCGGAAAAGCCTGATAATTTTCCAATTGCCTTACAACTTGATTCTCTCTAACTACATGAACTTGTTCACATTTTCTCATTTATCTGGAACATGGTGTCATTATGAAATAAAAATTTTAAATCACCATGTTTTCAAAACACACATGCCTAAAATCATTCATGAAGACTTTCTTTTAAAGTGTCTACTGGAAAATTTCTTGCTTTTTATGACGCTTTTGAGAAACCAGATACCTATCGAATATTCTCTTCTTTGTTAATGGACTTTGTCATTTTGCCTGGAGACTCAATTTTTTTTTCTTTATCACTAAATTCTGTTAATTTTGTAAAGTGTGTCTTAAAGTTGATATATCCAGGTCAATTACACAGGGAACATAATGGAATCTTCCAGTAGGGTGATTCATGTCTTTTTTTTTTTTTTTTTCAGTTGTACAGAGTTTCTTGTATCAATACAAGGAAATGTTTTGTTCCACTGTGTACTGTTGTGGGGTGAGGTTATGCATATATCACATCTGCCTCTATCTTATTTGTCTATAATGTACTATTTTTAGATTTTTGGGAGGGCTATTTTTGTTCATGTTGTTAAGATCCCCTATACCATTAAACTCTAGGAAAATTCGAATATCTTCCACTATTTTATAGACATTTTTTTCTTTTTTTTTTTCTTTCCTGTTTTGTGCACATCTACTTGGAATTTTGGAATTTTTTCATGTTTTTGTTCTTTGATATCTGTAAATGCTTTTGTGTATGTGTGTTCTATTGAAATTTTTCTGTTTTCTTTCATTAGCAGGAAAAAAGATTCTCACTTTCTATTTTATTCACATAGAAGGCTTATATAAATGCTGACCGACTTATATTAACTTTTAAAGGTACAGAATCTCATTGAAAAGAAATAACAAAGTATTTTTACAGATGGGGTGGTTGTAGTGAATTCTCTAAAGAATAAAGCTTGCTCTAAAAGGGATGGGGATTGTTTCAATGTGTCTTTAGATTCCTAGACATGCTTGTTTTCTAAATTGCTAGTTCCCAGAACTATTTCCCTCTTTCCAGGCCTTTCCTCTAAGCCTCCAAGATACATCTTCTCCATTTTAGCTGCCTTCATATACTATTGTTTATGAAGCAGAGACTTCTTTTACTTTTTCAGTAGAACTATATATTTATGAACCAAAAAAAAAGACTTATTAATTTATTTTTCTATTATATCAATTCTATAATTTGAACAAAACAACAATGGACAGTCAGAAATAAATAACAAATTAATGAAGAAATTAAGCAAAATTAAACTGTGAAAAAATATAGCAATATGTTTATAGTTAATAATTTTCCTCCTGTCCTCTCACATAATAATTTATTATTGGACATTTAAATTTTAAGGCTATATTTTTATCTGTTCTTAAGAGATCAAAATTTAACATTTTAAAGGAAAAAAATTACAGGATGATTAAACAGATATTACCTTATTTAATAAAAAATGTTACCATGGTTCTTCCTGTCCTATGAGAAAGTAGAATATGTGTCTATTCCCTTTTTGTTTTGTTTTTTTTTAATATTAAATTTTATTTTTATATTCCCCCATACAATTGCAAACGCCCCATTCTGACCCCAATCCTTCCCCTCCCGCCCCCCACCCCCAAAAAGTGTCTCTGGTTCATAGTTTTTGTTGATTTTGATTTTCACTTTCTTATATTCATTTTCCTGGTCCCTTATTTAAGTTTTCTAGATTCCTGCTATGAGTGAGACCATCCGGTATTTTTCTTTTTCTTTTTGGCTTATTTCGCTGAGCATGATCCCTTCCAGCGCCATCCATGTTGCTGCAAATTGCATGTGTTTATCTTTTTTGAATGCTGAGTAATATTCCATGGTATATATGTACCATATCTTCTTGATCCAGTCATCTATTTTTGGGCATTTGGGTTGTTTCCAAAGCTTAGCTATTGTAAACAGTGCTGCTATAAACATAGGGGTGCAGGTGCTCTTTGGAATTGATGTTTCTGTGTCCTTTGGGTAAATACCTAGGAGTGGAATTGCTGGATCATATGGAAGCTCTATGTTTAGTAGGTCCAGAAATCTCCACACAGCTCTCCATAGTGGTTGAACCAGTTTGCACTCCCACCAACAGTGCAGAAGAGTTCCTTTTTCTCCACATCCTCGCCAACATTTGTTGTTGCTAGTTTTTTTAATATGTGCCATTCTCACTGGTGTGAGATGGTATCTCATGGTAGTTTTGATTTGCATTTCCCTGATTACAAGTGATGTTGAACATTTTTTCATATGTCTGTTGGCCATTTGCATTTCCTCTTCAGAGAAGTTTCTTTTTAGCTCTTCTGCCCATTTTTTGACTGGATTATTTTCTTTGTTGTTGCTGAGTCTCATCAGCTCTTTGCAGATTTTTGTGATCAGTCCTTTATCATTAGTGTTGGGTGCAAAAATGTTCTCCCAGTTGGTGGGGTTTCTCTTTGTTTTTGTTTTGTCTCTTTTGCTGTGCAGAAGCTCTTTAATTTGATGTAGTCCCAGCTGTTTATCTTTGTCTTCACTATCACTGCTTTGGGTGATGTGTCTGTAAAGATGTCTTTGATGT